AGAAACCTTGAAGGGACGTGTTCTAAAGAAAAATCAGGCTTACATCTTTTTGGTCGCGATTTGATAAAGCGCCAAAGAAACAAAATACATCTTCGTGTCTTAAAAGCCATCGTCAATTTGATTAGAGGTCAGCTGTCGCCACATCCGCATTGAAAAGCTACGTCAGTTAGATAGCTTTCTTTAGTCATCTACGAAAAGCTCCGGTGTCTTTGACACTTTCCTGCAATATTTGGATACTTCAAACAAGAATGGTAAACTTTGATGCAACAAATCTACCTACTCAACATGCACAAACCGAGGTGGGATGAATAGGCCATTCTGTTTTACATTTGTTGTACTTTCAGAAGACAGACCTTAAATGGAGATGCACAGGCATGTGTCACTGTCTGCAGAACGCTCACCTTGAAGACTGTGGGTGGATACCAGTCAGGCAGCAGTCCTGAAATGGTAACTGTGTTTAAATGTCTGTACATGATAGAAGGGACCATGAATTCACGCTTTGGAGAATAGTAATTAGTTTATTTTTATCTGATGTCTCTTAATCTTAATTTCGTATGCCATGTCAAATACTTTCATGTTCATTAAATAAGTCACACTTTGGAGAATACTGATTAGTTTATTTTTTATCTGATGTATCTTAATCTTTATTCCGTATGTCATGTCAAATACTTTCATGTGCATTACATAAGATGAGATGACAGGAAATGATGAAACGCAGACGAGGAAATGATTCACTTTGTACTTTCTAATATCAATACGCTTAGTGGAAAGTGCCGATCAATCTCGCCTTCTCGGGCTATATTTCCAAGCCCTATCATGTTATTTATTTGAAGCTGAGGAGAGGAAGTAATGATTTTTGCTCGAATGTTTATTATGCCAGAGACGGACCGAGTTCAGTTGTGTCAAAACGTTTGATTTGTCAACGCTGTACACCACTATCTTACATCCTAAATCTGTAAAAATGAAATAAATGTCATTTGGAGTTTATTGAGAAAAAGATGTGTGAAGTGCTGGACTTCTTCATTCATACACTATAACTTGCTTTAGTCACGATATGGCTGAAATATTGCCGATGTGACTTAAAATCTTAACTCACTCACTCACTCTTCATTCATAGTTAACATCTATGAAACATTTGGGGAACACATTTAGACAAGAAATACGTGTTTCCATTTGCACCAGTGGTGCTCCCTTCTTTATTTATGCTTATGAATCGCTATATTCGTACCCCATGGTCCCTAGAGTGGTGATCTACCTTCAGTTGTTGGCGATCCTCCGCCTTTTTTTAATATTGTATTGTCCTAATTTGAAATCCTGTTTTAGTGAGATATGCTAGTTCTATTTCTTGTTACTGTGATATACTAGTTGGTTTTACTGTCCTTCGTCGACAGGTTTTTAAACTTTGTGCATTTATAATGAATTTATAACTATTTTAAGTCACAATATGGCTGAAATATTGCCGATGTGACTATGAATTTTATCTCACTCACTCACTCACTCACTGTATTCGTACAACTAGTGTTTACATTTCACAATTTATACCAAAAGTACCAAAGGATAAAAAGTGCGGTTATTAGCTGGGGATGATTTCATACGCAAAGCATCAAAGGGCCTCGAGGAAGTCATCACAAATAGAGCTACAGAAGGTCCTGTGAGCCTGATAATCTGAACTAGTTTAACGTCTTACAGCAGTTAATATCTACCAGTGTTTTCAGATACGTCTTTGCCAAAGGCTTGATGGAAACAGCAGAGGAAATAAGTAATAAAATGTTTCTTGAGATAAAATGTTATGACTCTGTTGTAAATAGAAGCGACAAAACCGCTTCCACATTCATAATACAAATGAAGCTGATTATTCATTTCAAATAATATGAATGTAATATGATATGTTCATGAAAATATTAACGGGTCGAGAGTATCAGGTCGATAACCAATGAGAACTATGCAGCGTATTTATTAACAGAAGCATGTGGATGGAACAAAGGCAATGCGATAGTTTGATATCGAATTTCGCCTTGGACGTCCTGAGCACGCGCAAAACATACCCTAACGACTATGTCAGCGTTACAACATGCACATCGTGTGTAGCGTCAGTATCGAATTCTAATAATATTGAACTTTGTCAGTATTGATTCCATTTATAACTACTTATTTCGGAATGTTCTAAGATCGAAGACAAGACGCCATCCAAGAGTTCTTGTCCTCATGACGGAATGTAGATAAACCTAAAGCTCTCGGTTCCAAAGTCAAATATGGGGTAAATGATCTATTGGGGGGACCATATTAAATTTTAAATCTCAGTAGGCGTTCTCCCAAAGCACGTCTGTTGATTTGATTACTAAAGATGCCATTTAAGGACATCATGTCATTCAGGGTGATAAATTTGAGATAGCGGTTACTGTTTTGACTGAAGTTCCACACGCTTGTTTCATGTCAGTAGCATTCACCATATACATCCGCCCCACTGTGTTGCATTCAGCCGAAATATATTTCTCGGAATTCAGGACTTGTCCATGAAATGAAGGTTTCTGATACTTCAGGATTTTACTTCTATCTAAATCGTCTCATCATTTCATTTCACGAGAGACAACAGACAACGAAATATATTCTAGTGGGCGGAAAAGTTAAGGAGAAAGCCATATGGATAGATCACGTAAATGTGTGTTGTTTTGAGTAGCGACAATGAAAGCTACCTGGAGTTTTGTTTGGTCGTTTGTCTTTCTGGGGGCGTGGCTGAGTTGAGCCACTTTCCTATGTAACGGGAAATACCATCTATAACTGTTCCATATGCCAGCATTAGCAATACCAAACCAGTCAACATAGTTCTGGCTTTCATAACAAAGGGGCTACCTGTTCATATCTTTAGTTCAACATTTCCCACATAAAAGTGAGAATACAAACACGTTGATTACCAAGCGAACAGTAACAAATTCGGACGACCGTACAGGTCTGTGAGAGATGACTGTTGTGTTTGCAATATAGAGGCACTGGCGAAGTTGGTACAAGGCTAGTTGGTAACGTTAATGAATTTGTTTGTGTCATTTACAGGACGCCGAAGTCGTTATTACAGGAAACATAGCAGAAATGTAGGTTCTTGTTCGAGATAAATTCTATGATTGAATGAAAAAAAGACCCCAAACAAACCGGAATGTCGGACGAAAGTAAAATGACTTCAGTCCATTTTTCTTACGGTGACTCACAGTCACCTAAAATGATGATGATCCAACTGATTATAAGGTGTTCATGCATGCCTGATATATTTTACGAATCTAAGGAAGTGACATATTGATACTCAGTTTTAGGTATACAGACGTTTTCATTTCCTTCAACAGTGTCAATACACATGGATATCTTCACCTTATCTATCCATCAGAGATGGGCGTCAAAAGACGGACTGACAAACGATTTGAGTCGTTCTATCTGAACATGTGTATAGAAAATCAAGTTCTGAGACAAGAGGATTATTTCTTTTTCTCATCGTGACGTTTCCCTTAATGTCCAACAATAAACTAACAACTCCATCTTCTGGTGTCTACACGTCCAGTTGCGCAGATCTGTACAAAACGTGTACATATTATTCAAACGTCATGGAAAGACATATTAAGCGTTTTAGTCCAGGTTTCAACATCAAAGGTCTGGTCAAGGTTTTCTGGAAGTTTTGGGTTGACATTCATGACACTATCATATATGACACTCACCTTGTCGATTTGATGCGCAATGCTGTACTATCCTATGACATTCACAGCAATGTTTCCCAACTGTTCAGTCCCCGACAGTTTCGTTAGTGGACTGACTGGTCAGGTGTGGTGACGGCGTGGCGTTGTGCCACAACAACGACGTGGATCATTGCACATGATACTGATCACTGCATTTTATTACATTACCATGTAAACTTAGGATAGTAATACAGGGCTGTAATACGGATGACGTGGTCAAATTCAGTATTGCATCCCAGATTCCGTCTTGAACCCCTGCCTGTTCTACTTAATAAGTAACAGATTAATGCAAGATAAGAAGGTATATAGTAAATATAGAACGTCATACTAGTGCATTTGGATGTTTTGTATTGAACTCGAAGATGTCATGGGTGCAGAGAAACAACGAGCTCGAAGCATGACATCTTCAAATTCGTTCTTCGAACTCGTGGGCGGTGGGGTAGCCCAGTGGTCAAAGCGTTGGCTCGACACGCCGAAGACCCGGGTTCGAATCCCCACATGGGTACAATGTGTAAAGCCCATTTCTGGTGTCCCCCGCCGTGACGTTGCTGGAATATTGCTAAAAGCGGCGTAAAACCAAACTCAGTCAGTCTTCGAACTCGTTGTTTCACTGTTCCCATGACATCTTCGAGATCAAAACAAAACATCAAAATACACTAGTATGATGTTCTATATATCTCCACATTCAGTAGCTCAGAATCAGTCGTCATTTACCGGTAGTAGTGCTATGCAACACACAAACACTTACGTTTGCATGACAACTGAACAAGTGGCCTGAGTCGCTGCTAGGACAGGGCATGATCAGTCGGTTAGTGAAGACCTGGCGTCAGCTCTGGGTTTCTTGATTCCATGTGTATACTTGTCGTGTGTATTTTGGGCTGTGATACCTTGTTTGTAGTGCGTAAGACCTGTATGCTTGGGTGCGTGCATTGTGTGTATGCATAATGTGTGTGTATTTCTGCGTTTTTTGTTGTGTGTATTTTGTGCTGTGTATACCTTGTGTGTATTTTGGGCTGTGTATACTTGTGTGTATTTTGTGCTGTGTATACTTGTGTGTATTTTGTGCTGTGTATACTTGTGTGTATTTTGGGCTGTGTATACCCCAGTGTGTATACTTTGTGTCGCTGTGTGTGCATACTTGTGTGTATATTTTGTGCTGTGTAATTGTGTATTTTTGTGCTGTGCATACCTTGTGCATATTTTGCTGTGCATACTTGTGTATATTTTGTGCTGTGTGTATTTTGTGCTGTTATACTTGTGCTTTGTGCTGTGCATACTTGTGTGTATACTTGTGTGTATTTTGGCTGCTGTGTATATTTTGTGTTGTGTATTTGTGCTGTGCTGTGTATACTTGTATATTGTGTGTGTATACCTGTGTATATTTTGTGCTGTGTATACTTGTGCTTTTGTGCTGTGTATACTTGTGTATATTTTGTGCTGTGTATACTTGTGTATATTTTGTGCTGTGTATACTTGTGTATATTTTGTGCTGTGTATACTTGTGTATATTTTGTGCTGTGTATACTTGTGTATATTTTGTGCTGTGTATACTTGTGTGTATTTTGTGCTGTGTATACTTGTGTATATTTTGTGCTGTGTATACTTGTGTATATTTTGTGCTGTGTATACTTGTGTATATTTTGTGCTGTGTATACTTGTGTATTTTGCTGTGTGCTGTGCTGGTATACTTGTCGTGTATACTTGTGTATATTTTGTGCTGTGTATACTTGTGTGTATTTTGTGTATTTTGTGCTGTGTATACTTGTGTGTATTTTGTGCTGTGTATACTTGTGTATATTTTGTGCTGTGTATACTTGTGTGTATTTTGTGCTGTGTATACTTGTGTGTATTGTGTCCTGTGTATACTTGTGTGTATTTTGTGCTGTGTATACTTGTGTGTATTTTGTGCTGTGGATACTTGTCGTGTGTATTTTGTACTTGACGCCCATCCAGACCGGTTTTCGCTGGGGTTGGCATTTTGAATTGATCAGGGTTATGTGTTTTGAAGGCTTTCTTAGTTGAAGCAGGAAGTTGAAATAAGACCTTAAACTTTGCGAATGCGATACATTGATATTCGGAATACCTTTTCCCAAAGAAATCAAATTCACCACCAAGATGCAATTTATCCGAGTGAATCTCTCGCTGCAATTGATCACAAGGAAGTTTCCATGTCATGTATCAGTATGTCCACTGTCGGTATCCTGTTGAGTTTTACGTCACGATCCAAGGCCACCAGGTCTACTCATACAAGCACCTGTCACCACTTGACAGGAGTATTCATCATACACGATTACACAAACAAAACCTCTCCACTCTGAAGTAAAAATAGTTTAAAACCGATCAAGGGTCGTATATGCATCGATTATTTTCCTATATGCAATATGTCAAAGTTGGCAATGTTAGGCGATTTCCCGATTATGTCGGCTTCCCAGCGGTGCGTTGATGGGAAACTAGCGTTCAGCCTGTCTTCTGATGCTGTTAGCCCCACCATCTCATCAGTTACTATTGGAAAAACGACATAAATCTGTGTATTTGTATGGTAAAAACTGATGCTTGTGAAATAGGACCAGATCGTTTTGCTTTGCTGATGTGTCCACTCCTGAGACGCTTTACCAGTACAGGGGGCAGCTTTTGCTGATGATAAGTTTTCGTTTTCTGTCCGATTTTATACTCTGGTTAGCACATGTACTTCAGATCAACCCTGATTACTACTAATAAATGTGCATATATCTTTCTTCATTCCAACGGCATAGTGATATGAGTGAGTGAGTTAAAATTTATCGTCACATCAGCAATATTTCAGCCATATCGTGACGAGAACAATTAACTGTTATGCATAGTAATTAATGGGAAATTCTAAAAACCTGTCAACGAAGGACAGTAAAATAACCAGATTATCACAGATATGAATTTAAAACTAGCAATTAAATCTAAAACAGTTTAACTATAGATGACAATACAATATAAATACAGGCTATAGGATAACTGAAGGTAGATAACCATACTAGGAACCATGGGGACTAACAGTACATTTCCTTCCTCATAGTGATATGAGGTTATTCGTTCTGCAGCCCCTGATAAGAATGTAAGGATGCAAGGGGAGAGGTACACGTGCAAATATACAAGTCTATGGATACAGGAGTCGGGTGCAGGTGTTAAAATATACATGTAAGTGTAAAAGTACAATTGTAGAGCTCCACGGGGGCAGATAATGGTGTAGGGTCACACGTGCAGAAATAGCAGTATAAATGTGCAAACATAAAAGACAAATCTCTTTCCACATCTACCAGAAACCTCGCCTTACGATTTTGAAGCAGCATGCAATAATATTCACATCAAATGCTGATGATACCAGGTGTTCACCAGTAGCACCAGTCATAAATATACGAAAAGCTTTGACCTGAAAAACCGTGGGAACGTAAGGTTACAAGTCATAATAGAGAATTGCAACAGACATGGCGCTAATCTGGGATTCAGAACAAGGATATATTCTGGCACGCCAAGGAACTGCAACTCTGTGCACAACACACATTGTGCCTTCCCCAGATTGGTTGGTTGGTTGTTTAACGCCGCACTCAGCAATATTCCAACTACATGGCGGCGGTCTGTAAATAATTGAGCCTGACCACCCGATCCCGTTAGTCGCCTCTTAAAACAAGCATGGGTTTCTGAAGATCAATTCTAACCTGGATCTTCACGGATGACCTTCAGGCGCGTAGCCAGGAAAATGAGTGTAAGCACAAATGATGAAAATTTTGAAATCAGGGAGAGTATACCCCATCGAAAAGTAAAGCATTCTTCTGAACACGAGATAAAGTTCAGACAAACATCAATAACATGGTAAAACATGCAAAACATAAATCTTAACTCCAAACTAGCGGATCCTGACCACGTAAATATTGCAAATAGTTAAGTACCAAAACAACTGGAAAACTCGGTAAATGAAACACTTCAACTTGAAAGCATAAGGTGGATCTCCTGACGACTGAGAGGATTATAGAAACTATCTGAGCAGCATCCGGTCTTCATAGATGTTAGTCAAAGTGAAGAGCCAGTCTTTTTAGTTTGACCTTGTGCGAATGTCAATGACTTTGTTCATGTCTACCACGAATTCACGATGTACGTGAACCAGTCTTAATATTTGTCAATTCTAGCGTCTCAACAGAGACAGTAGATGGTTTCTGAGTGTCTGATTTAACAATTGGCGAGGAGTCAGTACATGACTCAGATAATGCTATTGTATCAGAATGTGTTTTGGGAACCCTAGGTACTATTGTCAGGTAAAACGAGCATTTCAGTCAACCTGGGTTGTTTAACGATGTAACAAACAATTGTAGAAGAATGTTTTGCAGATTTGTACTCATTTCTGCACATTACAAAAGATACAATACTTAAAACAATTCCAAAGAATAGATCAACGATGTCGACAACTGAACAAACGATTTCGACCTGTTTCCAGACATAATTTATTGCATAGTGTAGAGAAAACATGCTTGTCTATAAATGACCCGCGGTACTATACAAGAAACCACCCAAAAAACATGAAAACAAATTAAATGCTAACCTTTCTTTAGCATCTTAAATCACAACATTTTGTTTTCAATTTTAAAGTGTAAGCACGACGTCGTTCTTTTTGTGCTACGCTGTAGCTACGCCACTGACCTTCCCTGTATCCCGGCGGACAACATGATGATTTCCCGGTTTCTACAGATGGTTACCATGCTACTTGCTACAGATGGTGTGTATTTACCTGTAAAACCATGTATGTGATTTCAGATGTTTGTACATGTCAGTAAATGGCACATGTAACACCATCCAGTTAACGTCCTGCACAAAAACGTCTTCAAAACGCAGCTCACAACTGTATTTTATTAAACACACTCTTTGTATTCCACATTTTCTATCAGACTTATTGAATTTCGTCTTCATAACATTCATTAATAAATACGCTGATGCAATTTGAATATACGAAGTAGTGATTTGGCAAAACATGAAATTACAGCATCAAAATGTCTGCCAAATCGATAATTCACTTTCATTTTCTTAAGTACAAGCTGATAGTTTTGCACAAGTTAATTAACTGCATTTCTAAAATTTTCTCTTTTTTCATAAATACACATATTTCACCAAAATCGATTATGAAACATGTCAAAATGTCCAAAATTGGTTGTTAGTGCTATAAGTTGACAGTGACATGCGGAACAGAACATCGTCGTCACTGCATCTATAGTTTCATCCTGATAAAAACAACTTTCAAAGCAGAAAACAAACTCATTTCTAACTGAAAACTATCCAAACTGGAAACAAGACGTGTTATTGATCTCATGTTCTGCTGTAGGCGTGTATATTAGCCTGCCAAAGCTCCACAGCAAAGCCACCCACTGCATCAATTCAAGGGAGGGTGGAAGCATATGCGCAATACGAGATGCCGTAGTTGTGTTGTATCTAACGTTGTTTTGTGGCCCTTTTTGACATCAAGTAGTTAAGCATCTATATGCAGTCTCTAACAATTTTAACAAAGTCTGTATAACTAAAACACCAGGATGACATCTTCGCTATGTTATGGACAGTTGAAGAAGATGATGAAGCATACGACTTTACAGATAATAACTTCGAAGGTGTATGATGGCTTCCAAAAGTAACAGTTTCGTGGAGGGGTTTCGGCCATTAGCTTGGCCTCGTCCAGTGATGTGCCACTTGTTCAATTACATGCTGTTGTTAATGTTAATCTGATGTTTGTCAAGACATATTTTGTATATACTTCTCATCACTTAGTTGTAGTCACTTTTAGTGTGAGAACGGTGTAAGAAGCTACGTGCAAACGTCGCTCTCTGTAATAATTATTAACACATCAACTTCAAGAATGCCGATCAAGCAATTAGGAGGGTACTGAAGAATTATCCCATGTGATAGTTGAAAAAGAGTAGCGAGGAATCTGTTTATCAGGAACAGCGGTCCATAAGTTTGATTAAGAACCGACATTTACTTAAAGTTCATTGGAGTATGAACCTTCACAGAGTGAGAGCCAAATCAGAATTCGCTTATGCGCAAGTAAATACTTATAATTCCTATATCACAATGTGCTGTACATCTCGATGGTGGTATTATGCCAATTCATGTACTACGTGTGGCGTTTTGTGTAGTATGACAGCGACAAAACAACCTGTAACTGTAACGCGGAATAGTTCATCAAAAGTAGAACCGAGATGTGCGTGTGTGTGCTCAAACTGCTCAACAGGAACATCCCTTTCATGAATCTATGGTGGTAACAAGAGTTGGTCATCACCGATTAATGAACCGATGACTGATAGATGGTTTTAAACGTGATTAAGATACTAGTGTAAATAGAGGTATATAGATTGCTATAATCTGCCATATATCAGACTAGACGTGATCGAGACCATAGGTTAGATGTGTGTTCCCTCGTTTGGACAGGTGGTATTGAGGATATTCTCAAACGCAGATAACCTTTCTCGAGCTAAGATGAAGATTACAAGGGCCAAATGATCAGAAACAATGCATCTGTATTTATTCACAAAAGGAAATTGAAAGGGGTATCCGCCATTGGTTGAGACATTGAACGAATAAAATCTCGTCAAGAAGTATTTGTCGTTCTTACATTTAGGAACATCAGCTTCGCGGTCATGTAAGCAATCTGTCTGGAAACGC